CGGATTCAGGGTCTTTTCGGTCTAAAAACGACTCTTTTATTAGTACTAAAACAGAGTCGGGCCTGCGCCCGTTTTTGGGGTCGTGTGGGTCGTTTTCAGACTCTAAAACAGGGTCGTTTGTTCTATGCGGGTAGGATCTTATTTTACATGTAGCAGTACCTTAACATAAAAGTTAGGATCTTATTTAATATGCCTAAACATAGCAGTTTGGATTTTATTTCATATGTATAACATATAATATTATATCTTTGCAGCCTGATATCTACCTATGATAAATTTTTGATGGATTGCATTTTTAAAGTTTAATTATCATAGGTTTACACCACCAGGATGCAATGTGATAATGACTAGTATATAATTAATGTTGGCTAAGACATCAGCATATGTCTAACCCATTTTTCTGAATAATAAAGCTAGGTGCAGTAAGGGCTGCAATTTAAATCATTATAATCATTTAAATTTTGAACCCAGTGCTTAAATAAAAAATTTATGGACTATTTTACATTTATTACAGTTAAACCCTAAATAAGCAATACATCCAAATTCATTAAATGTTGTATTCTTCACTTTCTCATAATGGAATGTTGCAGTTTTTTTAATTATAATGATTATATGGAGCTCTTCAAAATTTTTCCGCATTTTCATAGCTATTCATTTTTTTTCCCAAATACTGAGATTTATGTAAAATAGTAAAAAAAACTCATTGAAAAATTGTTAAGACAACTTTTCATAAATTATTTTGATGTATGGCTCATTTAGGGTTTAAGTGTAGAAACACCGATCAGCCAACGGAAAGTCCTTTACCTTACTCTATGCATTTTACTAAATTTGTTATCAAATATGAACTTGGAAAAGTTAAGAAGTTAAAGTGTTCCCACTCTTCCTCACCCCCTTCAACCAGGAAAGAATTAAAATTAAGTAAATACACATTTTAGTGAGAGGTTTCGTGATTATAAATATTTTTCCTGAAGGTTTCATAATACATTTTACCCAGTGGCAGGTAGTAGTTAATCACTAGTTGCTAGCTCTAATTCTCAGGAATTTGTCATTTATAATAATTGTGAAAAAATGGGAAATAATTATTAAAAATCCATTTTTTAGCATTTCTTTATATTTTTCAGTAGTCTTCCTCCTTAAATTGAAGTGTTGCATGCTCCTCCTCCTCCCACGGATGGGACTGCAGGAGGAGTGAGAATTTTTAAATATTGCCTCCCATTATTACTCCTTAAATTTGCTCCTCCTCCTCCCACAAATGGGATCAACTGCAGGAGGAGTGAGAATTTTTAAATATTGCCTCCCATTATTACTCCTTAAATTTAAGTATTGCATGCTCCTCCTCCTCCCACAGATGGGACTGCAGGAGGAGTGAGAATTTTTAAATATTGCCTCCAATTATTACTCCTTAAATTGAATTGTTGCATGCTCCTCCTCCTCCCACAGATGGGACTGCAGGAGGAGTGAGAATTTTTAAATATTGCCTCCCATTATTACTCCTTAAATTGAAGTGTTGCATGCTCCTCCTCCTCCCACAGGGAGGAGTGAGAATTTTTAAATATTGCCTCCCATTATTACTCCTTAAATTGAAGTGTTGCATGCTCCTCCTCCTCCCACAGATGGGATCGACTGCAGGAGGAGTGAGAATTTTTAAATATTGCCTCCCATTATTACTCCTTAAATTTAAGTATTGCATGCTCCTCCTCCTCCCACAAATGGGATCAACTGCAGGAGGAGTGAGAATTTTTAAATATTGCCTCCCATTATTACTCCTTGAATTGAAATGTTACATGCTCCTCCTCCTCCCACAAATGGGACTGCAGGAGGAGTGAGAATTTTTAAATATTGCCTCCAATTATTACTCCTTAAATTGAATTGTTGCATGCTCCTCCTCCTCCCACAGATGGGACTGCAGGAGGAGTGAGAATTTTTAAATATTGCCTCCCATTATTACTCCTTAAATTGAAGTGTTGCATGCTCCTCCTCCTCCCACAGATGGGATCAACTGCAGGAGGAGTGAGAATTTTTAAATATTGCCTCCCATTATTACTCCTTATAAATTTAAGTGTTGCATGCTCCTCCTCCTCCCACAGATGGGACTGCAGGAGGAGTGAGAATTTTTAAATATTGCCTCCCATTATTAAAAAAATTAAGAGAGAAACCCAACTCGAGAGTGGAAAGCTAAACCTTCAGACACAAGGCTTCTTACCTTCTCTTTATCTCTTTTATAGTGAAGAATGGAATAGAATGTAATGCACAATTCAAACATGTGTGATTAAAAGAAAGAATTTGAAAACCTCTATACCTGGAATAATCCTGGCCTCTACTATGAGTAGTTTAGCCTCCTCTGGGTCCCAGCTATGGTTGACTGCCACCCTTCCGTATATTTCTGTCTGTAAAGGGTTATTTCCTCCTTCTAAACAAATATTATAGTTGATTATTGATTGAACCAATGGAAATTTTAACCCAGAGGAATTAAGTAATAAACCCAAGAGAATTTTCCTGAGGGGTTTTTATTGGTTTCCTTGAAGGGTTCATTGATTCTAATTTTTCTGAGAGTAGATTACATTCCTTTGTAAAGAGCTGGTTTTAACATTAACCTGTATAGACAGGAATGCAGATTAATATATTGATTTATTTATTGCTTGTTTGTTTTATTTATTTATTGATTGTTTGTTCTATATTGCTCGATTGATTTATTGATTGCTTAATTTAAGTGTTGCTTGCTTGGGTAATTTATTAATTGCTTAGTAAGCTATTTTATTACTTGATTTATTGATTTATTGCTTGATTAGTTTATTGAATGCTTGATTAGTTTTTTGATTGCTTGATTAGTTTATTGATTGTTTGTTTAGTTTATTAATGGCTTGATTAGTTTATTGATTGCTTGATTAGTTTATTGATTGCTTGATTAGTTTATTGATTGCTTGATTAGTTTATTGATTGCTTGATTAGTTTATTGATTGCTTGTTTAGTTTATTGGTTTATTGAATGATGTTGAATGTTTGGTAAATTGATTTTTATTTTTTTATTTTTATAACTTGCTTCATTTATATTAGTTAAGTATTAACTAATTAATTTCATTACTCACTAAACTTTCAAAATACTAATTGTAAAAAGAAAATCTTTTTTCTCTTTTAGAAATAAAAAAGTAATGAAGGTATTTCACTACTCACTAAACTTTCAAAATACTAATTGTAAAAAGAAAATCTTTTTTCTCTTTTAGAAATAAAAAAGTAATGAAGGTATTTAAAGCAAATGAAAATGATGACAAGGAAAAATGTTAGTTTCTTTCTGAATCAAAATAATTTCACTTTTACCATCTGATGTGTAAGCTTTTTAAAGCTTTAAAGGAAGTTTTAACTGTAATTTTATGTGATCCTTAATACAGAGATGTCAATTCACAATTCACAACGGTACCCATAAAAGTTTTGTCTGTCAAGTATGAACTATGAATTAGTCATTGCAATGATTATTTTTAAATGCGTGTTCTCTAAAAAAGTGACTTGCGCATTTCTATAGCAAAAAAAAAACAAATTAAAATCATCAGATTTTAACACTTTCAAAACCAAAAAAAGGACAAAATCCTACACAAGGGTTTTATTGTGAATCAGGCATTGTCATCTTTGCACGGAGGGTCACCTGAAGTGAATATTACAGTCCCATTAAGTTATGTATATTTGTTAATACCTCTATCTGATCTAGCAGAATTAGGTGGAACACTGTTATTATCATCCTACAATATTTTTAATAAGTAAAAGTTTTGAAAATTATTTACTTTAGCGTGCTTCCTCTCATGTATGTTTTATACAATATTGCAATAAAACTGTTTAACATTAATAGCTAGGGGCAGATAAGAATGGTTCACTATCATTTAAGCCAAAGAATCTAAATCAACAAAAAACGTTAAACTTAACATTGTGCAAAAGTATTTAGATTTTTGATAAATATACTTTTCCTGATCATTTTTCCCTGAAGCAAAGTTGAAGTATATAATGTTATCATTCTCTATATCCCAAACATAGAGTTTAGGATCAGGGACTAAACTACCCTGAACAGCCACAGAAATAAGAAGAAATATCATTTTTGATTACATAAGGCTGTTGAAATATTCATTGTTGTCAAATGTTTATTTGCAAAGCATAAACAAAAGATTATCATAAACTAAGAACTACGAGATCGTCTCTAAATTCTTATCCTTATAGACTTTCAAAGATAACTTTTCATGTTTCAAAGATAACTTTTCATGTTTTGAAGATAACTTTTCATGTTTTGAAGATAACTTTTCATGTTTTAAAGATAACTCTGCATTCTTTTATGAAAACTCAGCATGTTTTGATGATAGCTCTGCTTGTTTTTAAGATAACTCTGCATGTTTTTAAGATAACTCTGCATGTTTTATTGATTACTATCCATGTTTTAAAGATAACTCTACATGTTTTAAAGATAACTCTCTATGTCTTAAAGATAACTTTCCATGTTTTAAAGATAACTCTAAATGTATTAAAAAAAACTCTACATATTTTAAGGATAACTTTGCATATTTTATACATCCATGCTTTAACGATAACTCTACTTGTTTTAAAGCTAACTCTACAAGAAAACTCTGCATGTTTTATAGATAGCTGTGCATGTTTTAAAAATAACTATGCATGTTTTAAAGAAAACTCTGCATGTTTTATACATAACTCTGCATGTTTTATGATAACTTTGCATGTTTTATACATGCAGAGTTATCTTAAGAACTTAATTTCCTGTACTGTGAATCAGGCATGCAAATTTTCAAATAGAGGGCACTTGAAATTACGTTTCTTTTAATATTAAAGTATTTCTTTGTGATTTTCCTGAGCAATCAAAATACTAGCTTTTGTAGCATTGTGGTTTATTTTCACCGAAATAACTTCTCCAAAATCAGATATAAACTCTAAATAGAAGAAAATCATACATTTTATCTACACACATTTAAATTATTAAATTTTGGGTTGTGAATATGATTAAATAACATCCATAAATTTTAATAATAAAATTTTACATTTAAAGGTCAATATATTTCTTAAGAGTTTCTCTTAATTTTGGGCTTTCAAAGTTCAAATTCTTTGTTGTTAAATTTCATTAAAAGTCAAAGTTTAACATCTACGTAAATTAGAAAGCTAAACTTTATATTTTTAATTATTATTCAATCAAAATAAATAGTTCTTTTTACCTGCTAAAAACTTTGGATACGAATGTGATTTAGCCTCACGCCTAGATATATCCCACATCCTGCATATATATATAATTAGGATTTACAGAGGTGGAAATTAATAAATAGCGAGAAATTGTTGAACTACTTTACACATAATCAGTATTTTTAAAGGTGGAAATTAATAAATAGAGATAAGTAGATGAACGGATAGTTGAACTACTAAACAAATAATTATCATTTTTAAAGGTGGAAATTAATTAATAGAGAGATAAGTAGATGAACGGATAGTTGAACTACTGAACACATAATTAGTGCTTACAGAGGTGGAGATTAATTAATAGGGATAAGTAGATGAACGGTTAGTTGAACTACTATACACATAATTAGTTTTTACAGAGGCGGAAATTTATAAATAGTGAGAAGTAGATGAACGGATAGTTGAACTACTGAATACATAATTAGTATTTACAGAGGTGGAGATTAATTAATAGTGAGAAGTAGATGAACGGATATTTGAACTACTGAACACATAATTAGTATTTACAGAGGTGGAGATTAATTAATAGGGATAAGTAGATGAACGGATAGTTGAACTACTGAACACATAATTAGTGCTTACAGAGGTGGAGATTAATTAATAGGGATAAGTAAATGAACGGTTAGTTGAACTACTATACACATAATTAGTATTTACAGAGGTGGAAATTTATAAATAGTGAGAAGTAGATGAACGGATAGTTGAACTACTGAACACATAATTAGTGTTTTGTATACAGAGAGGTGGAAATTAATAAATACAGCGAATAGCAGCTGAAGAGATTGTTGAACTACTTAAATTGTTATTCGATTGATAACCCATTTCTGATTTTAAAATATTAAAGATAAAATACTTCTTAAAAATATTAAAATTTAGTAAAAAAATAACCCTTTGATTTTTAAACATGACAAGATAACTAATTTGAATTGCATGTATCCCAAAATGCTCAAATCTCTCAGTTCCAAAAGCCTCTTCATTAACCTACATTGGATGGGTCTAAAATAAAAAGTAATTTACGATGTAATTGCAAAGGATTGAATATTTATTAATGCCTGATGCACCCTATTGTTATGTTTATACCTGATGATGTTAATATTTTGATACCTGAAGTATCCTATTATTATGTTTATACCTGATGTATCCTATTATTATGTTTATACCTGATGTATCCTATTTTTGTGTTTATACTTGATGATATTAATATTTTGATACCTGATGCAGCCTGGTATTACTTTCATACCTTATGCATCTTGTTAATATATAATTATACCTGAAGCATACTGTAAATATGTCAATAGCTGCAGATGCATACTGATAATATTTTGATAATTGATGCATCCTGTTGATATTTTATAATACCTGATGCATACAGATAATATTTTGATAAATGATGCATCCTGTTGATATTTTATAATACATGATGCATACAAATAATATTTTGATAAATGATGCATCTTGTTTATATTTTATAATACCTGATGCATACAGATAATATTTTGATAAATGATGCATCACGTTGATATTTTAATACCTGATGCATACAGATAATATTTTGATAAATGATGCATTATGTTGATATTTTATAATACCTGTTGCATACAGATAATATTTTGATAAATGATGCATTATGTTGATATTTTATAATACCTGATGCATACTGATAATATTTTGATAAATGATGCATGATGTTGATATTTTATAATACCTGATGCATACAGATAATATTTTGATAAATGATGCATCCTGTTGATATTTTAATACCTGATTCATCCTGTTGATATTTTAATACCTGATGCATCCTGTTATAGTTGCGCACACAACAAACGATGAGTTCACATCGACATATATTCCCATTCCTATAAGTAACATTTTATTACGATACAGTGAACTTTTATATTATTTTTTTTTATGTTTTTTGCTATAAATATTACATACAGGGTGTCCCACGAAACAATGCATGTGGTCTGCATTTTTTGTACTTTCAAAATTGACAGAGATGTAAAGAAATTATTTTAGATTTCAATTTACTAAAAAAATCAAAATTGTCTAAACATTTTTACTATGCCAGGTATCTTGTTATTGTTAATTCAAAAAATTTGTTGTAAAATAATTTAATAAATAAATTATTTCAAAATTCAAAACATCAAGCCGTCTCTCAACAGTCATGTTTTCTGGGACACCCTGTAATTAAATAATTATTCATAAAGATTGAAGACTAATCAACACTTAACCAATTTAGAGTAACATAAATAATTTCAGTAAAAAAGTCCTATTTTCACAATTTTTATGAATAATTTTAAATTATTTAAAAAATCTAAATTACCTTCGTTTTCACTAAAACCCAGAGTTTGCTTAATGGTTCCCTAAAAACATTTTATTTGATTTTCTTGACCTCAACACTTTTGCTAAATAACCCTTCATTTTCAATTTTTATTTTCGACAAAAGAAATTTTCGATAAAAATTTTTTATTATTTTTGGAGAAAAAACAATAAGGGAAATTTTTTTTTGCATTTCCACCGTATTCTTTTATTCAAATTATTTGAAGAATTGTATACATGCCAAGCAATGATGCCAGATTTACCTGAAAATTTCTGATGTGAATTTTCATTCCCTCCAGGGTTATAATGCTCTTCTCAAATACAACTAGACTCTCACACTCGGCGTTAAATGCTCCTTGAGAAATAAATCTGATACAATCACAAGCTTGTTAATTAGTTAACAGTAGTTTTGTGATTTCACGAAGATACATGGGATAAGCTTTGATTTTAAAAAAGGTGGGTTAATCCAAAGGTTACATTTTTACAGATGTATTTTTGCGGTGAAATCAATTTTATTGTTTTAAGATTTTTGAGTGAATATTTTCTTTTTTAATATTTGTTTATTTTGACAACAGAACATCAATTTGTACTTCTTGTTTTTAGAAAGAAAAAAGAAATTTTGTTAAAATTCATGTTGAAATTGAATGCAAGCTGTGCCTGCTGTTTTCATGGTTGATATCGTAAACAAGGACTCGATGACCGTTCCAGACAGCCAGGGTTTCATCGGTCACAAACACACCTCTGAATGACCGACGCTCATTTATTTTAACATAGAAGGGGGGGGGGGGACAAAGATCTAGACAGTTATAGAAAAGTTGTAGAAACTGGGTTAACTTACAGAATCCCATAACCTTGGTATTTGATTTAAAATCGCTACTTTACTCATACTGGTAGCCCTACAGTATGCGTTTAGCTCTTGTTTTTAAGCTTTAGTTTTTAAGAAGAATTATCATCAACTTTTGCTTGAGAGTTGGCAACCTTTGGATCAATGTTAAAATTTAATTTATTTTTAGGAACCCTGACAACCTCCATGTATTTTTTTGTTTTCTTGGAATAAAATCTCAAATTTTTTTATATAAAAAATTAAATTAGCCTCAAGAAAATTCATAAATTTTTTTCTCAAGTTTTTAGAGTGGTTTCCTAATTTGAATATCTGACACCAAGCTCGCCTTTTTCTCCCCCAGCATCACAGTCAAGTTGGTGGGACTAACCTAAACACAGAGATCTATACAGTCAAGTAGGTGGGACTAACCTAAACACAGAGATCTATACAGTCAAGTTGGTGGGACTAATGTAAACACAGAGATCTATACAGTCAAGTTGGTGGGACTAACCTAAACACAGAGATCTAGACAGTCAAGTTGGTAGGACTAACCTAAACACAGAGATCTATACAGTCAAGTTGGTGGGACTAACCTAAACACAGAGATCTATACAGTCAAGTTGGTGGGACTAATCTAAACACAGAGATCTAAACAGTCAAGTTGGTGGGATTAATGTAAACACAGAGATCTATACAGTCAAGTTGGTGGGATTAATGTAAACACAGAGATCTATACAGTCAAGTTGGTGGGACTAATGTAGACACAGAGATCTATACAGTCAAGTTGGTGGGACTAATGTAGACACAGAGATCTATACAGTCAAGTTGGTGGGACTAATGTAAACACAGAGATCTATATACAGTCAAGTCGGTGGGACTAATGATAAACACAGAGATTTTTTAAGACCGTGTACGTCGGCTTTTAAGCAGGGGTCCATATAATTCCTTTTTCAATCCCATTTGGGATTGACAAATTTGAAAGAAATGGGGTGTAGCGATGTTTAAATGACAAGAGAAGTAAACAGACTGAATATTTATTATGTAAACGCAGTATTTATACCAGATGCATAATCTAAACAATAATAAACAAATGCATAATCTAAACAATAACAAACAAATTGTTGTGAACTGTATTCCTGGAATCCAGGGGCGCCACAGGGGTCCCCCCAGCATCGAGGTGATGAAGTTGATGAAGAACTCGATGTTTATCTCGGACNTTTTTAATTGGGGGAATTTTTTATAATTGGGGGCAAATGGGTGCAAATGTGTTAGTGGAATTTGAAATTTTTTTTTAATTGGGGGCTTTTTTTTTAAATTGGGGGCAATGGGGGCAAATGTGTTAGTGGAATTTAAAATGTTTTTTCAATTGGGGGCATTTTTTTCAAATTGGGGGCAATGAAAATGTTTTTTTAATTGAAGGCATTTTTTTTATAATTAGGGGCATTTTTTTTAAGTTGGGGGCAAAAAATTATTTTGGGATCGAGAAAATCAGCTATTTTTGGAATTATATGGCCCCTGCTTTTAAGTTGTGCATATCGTATTTGTATATCGTAATGTTAACTGCGCAACAAGAATAAATTAGTTTAAACAATTGTCTGTACATTCTTTAACCCTTAAAAAACACATTTTTTCTTCCTTCTCTAAGCTCATGCCCTTTAAGTTTTTAGCTCATAAAATAACGCAAAACTTTCCTTTTTTTTTACATTTACAGATCTATTTTTACATTTACAGATCTATTTTTACATTTACAGATCTATTTTTACATTTACAGATCTATTTTTACATTTACAGATCTATTTTGCCTATTAAACCTTTCAGTTTCTCTTTAATGAGGTGAAACTTCATACCTTACTCTAGCCTTTTTTCCAGGGGGGAGATCACGACTCATAGGACGCACTTTCTCAAGTCTATACATAGAAGCATACCCCCCCTTTCCATCAGCCTTTATAAGGTCAAAAAGATCTGTTTGATTGGTAATATAAACTCACATAAATTTCACTAGAATGGGATGGTTCATTTGTGTACTGTCCCATATTGTAAGTCTACCATACAGTTTTCTTTATTTGCTTGAAAGTCGGCCCGATACTTGAATTGAACCGGAGTTGACAGTGTACTGTACCTGTACAGCGCAGACATCTTGATTATAGTGAACAGACACTTCATGCTCCCGCAAAATGAAAACCTCTCTGAACAAAATATTTTAATTATTATATTAAGGAAAACAATCAATTATGGAAAAGAACTAAAACTACATCTTTTCAAAATCATAGTTTTACATATAATTCATTAAATAATTTACTCTTTGTAACTATTTTTACTATTATAGAGGTTTATATTGGTGGAGGTGCTGGGGTAGATTTAAGAAAAATTGCAAGAAGTGCTTCATGATTATTTAAAAACTCTTTATTTCCTTCACCGAAATTACCTATGCCCTTTCCACCTATAAAGCAGTTGACCCCAAGAAGATATCTAGCCCCACAACTATTATACCTTATGAGTTGACCCCAATGAGATTAAAGTTTAATCTACAGCTCTTCTGCATGACTCTGTTGACCCCAAGAAAATTATAGGTTGATCCCTAGCTCTTCTACCTGACACAGTTAACCCCAAGAAGATTACAGGTTGACCTCCATAGCTATTTACCTGACACAGTTGACGCCAAGAAGATTATAGTTTGACCCCCAGCTCAGGTGCTTTACTGCAAATCCCACCCTGGCCATAGGTTCAGCTATCCAACTAGATTCCTGCAAAATTGTATATTGAGAAAAACTAAAAATAATTTCTTTAGTAAAAAATTATATTTTTTAATGTGTTAATTGAGAACCATAATTCTCTGTTTTATATTCCAAAGGAATATTTGATTCATGATTATTGAAGATCACTTGATCTAAGCCTATAACAATGCAATTTCTCTAATTAATGCAACACAGCGTTTTTTCCTGGGTTTGTGCAGAGAAGAAGGAATGTAGACAAAGACGACATACAAATTCAAGACTAATACAATTTAGTAATGTAAAATACATAAATACAGTAATAGTTAAACATAAACAAAATACGATGGTAGGCGATTATATCAACATATTGAACACAACTTTCGATATCAGTTTTAATTCATATCCAGCCTTTTAATAGCATGGATACACAGACACATGGAAAAAAAGAGAAGCTGTCAATTTAAAAAGCTTCTCTTTAATAACTTGTAAACTTGTAATTCGAAATAAGCTTGTTAGCAATTAAAACTTAAAACACAAATATCGTCTGCATTATATTGATATAATCGGCTACCATGGTAGTTAACCTGTGAAGTGCTAAGGGAGGTATTTGAATTATTACACTTCCACATCAGAATATTACCAAGACTTGTTCCTGAAAAAAAGCAGAATTCACGTTTAAAAATTGAATTTTATAATTTTAAAGCTTAAAAAATATAAAGCTTATTTTTAGGCCTTAAATTTATGTCAACAACGAAAACTACATGTTTACCATTTACCTCAGGAGAGAGTGGGGAGGGGNTTTACAATTGTGTAGATTTACATTAAATTGTAGATTTACAATTGTGTAGATTTACATTAAATTGTAGATTTACAATTGTGTAGATTTACATTAAATTGTAGATTTACAATTGTGTAGATTTACATTAAATTGTAGATTTACAATTGTGTAGATTTACATTAAATTGTAGATTTACAATTGTGTAGATTTACATTAAATTGTAGATTTACAATTGTGTAGATTTACATTAAATTGTAGATTTACAATTGTGTAGATTTACATTAAATTGTAGATTTACAATTGTGTAGATTTAAATCAAGAATTAGTAAATAAAGAGAAAAAATAATTGCTGTACCCCATTCGTAAAACCTGGTTTCCGATACTGGGTTTCATAACGATACCCTGTCTTAAATTTTAGGCTCTGAATTACATATGTAACATCAAAACAGGAATTAATACCTGCCGCTAGTGTTGATTTGGCGCTGCAGTAGCCTAGGCTAGTTATAAATTCTGATTTTCCTCCTAAATGAAGAATTTTGTTATATCATAATATTTCTTATTTTTAACTTTTATTTTCTCTTTTACTGTTAAAAAAAATACAAAAATGTAATCTCTAATTTTGAAAAAATCTTTTGCTTTATAAGTGCAAATTATATAATAATTACATACAAATTAGAAGATAATATATGATATTTTTCAACGAAAGCATAACAAATATTTGCCTACCCGCTCCTGTAGCCCCAGTCAGGACAAAGTTATCACCAGAATCTGAATTACAAAAATAAAAATAAATTAATTGTTAATTGTTCTAATTTTAAAACTATCATTTCTTCTAAACATTATTAAGTTTGTGACAGAAATATTAAAAACAATTAAAATGTGGATGAATATGATTAAAACCAAAGAGAATAGAATATGTATTATTAGAAAAAAGTGTAAAACGGCCATTTTGTTGTACTGTTTCCATACTGCAGGTGTACTTCACATATTTAAGCTTTATATCCTTTTGGGCCCTGGAACATCATTTTATAAAAATGTTTTCTTGAAAATTATTTAATTTTCTCTAAATTAATTCTCTGATAGCCTGTCATGCACACGTGGATAGAAATCAATCTAATATTTTTTCATTAAAAATATATTCCTATAATTGTAGCCTTCAGGTAATCAAAGAGGAAAACACAATATTATAGAAATATTAGAGATATCAAAATATGGTCCAACTTTTTTTAACCACCAAAATTGAGGATGGTCATAAACTTAATATTTTAAAATTAATATTAAAAGAAAGCCAAATTATGAAATAGGCTGGTTTCATAATTGACCAATGATCATTTCACATAGACTCTATGCCTTTCACTTTACAAACGATGATTTTCCGTTATAACTATAAATCAAATGATGTTTTTATTCACATAATTCACATTTTATAAAGTTTATTTAACAGCTTTAAACTAAAAATTCGAAATTGAATTGGATATTCTAGGAAACATAATGTACTAATGTACTCTACTGCATATAATTTGTGAATATTTACATGATTTGTACACTTTGAACTCCCTTTCATGCTGAAAGGGACTGACAAAATTCATATCGAGGGATTTCTAAATTCCACTCTAATATATATTCTATTCTCTTTGTTAAGGGCCTTTCCCGGCCCACCGTCTTTCCAATTTATATTGCTTCACAAATAATCTAATTTTAAAACATTTCGTCTAAACATTATGAAGTTTGTGACATAAATATTAAAAACAATTAAAATATGTGGATGAATATGATTAAAACCATGAAAATTGGACCTTCAATCATGAAAACGAACGTCAAAAGGTTGAAAATCGGGGCATTAAAAGCATGAAAACTGTATCTCTGAATAAAGTGTTATAAAAAAACTTATGAAAATGTCATAACAAATCAGAAAAGTCAGAAAATCATAAAAATGGGATTTGAGAACTATTTGAACAATAACATCAGAAAATCATAAAAATGGGATTTGAGAACTATTTGAACAATAACATCAGAAAATCATAAAAATGGGATTTGGGATCTCTTTGAACAATAACATCAGAAAATCATAAAAATGGGATTTGGGAACTCTTTAAACAATAACATCAGAAAACCATAAAAATGGGATTTGGGAACTCTTTGAACAATAACATCAGAAAACCATAAAAATGGGATTTGGGAACTCTTTGAACAATAACATTAGAAAATCATAAAATTGTCGCTCAAAATGCATGCCAAAAGCTTCGTAAAATTAAATGACATCAAAACAAGAATCATGTAAATGCGCAAAAATAGCATATACAAATTAGGCAAAAAAAAAAGATGGCGCTGACCTAGGTTCCACAAGCGTACTCCCAGTTCTCCTGTAGTTATCCCCAGGAGTCCACGACCAGCCCATGTGATCGCACAATCTGTACTTCTAATAAATAACAAATTTATCAAAATCCCATTTTTACTATGAAGATGCACTATAAGATGCATAAAACATGAAGTGAAATGGGACTGTACAAATACAAACCACGCTTTCTTTGTTTAATCTTCAATTATTTAAATTATAACTTGTGCCTATCATTCGTCTTCTATTCCACAGTTTTATGGGACTCACTGTATTAGTCATGGATTGCATTTTTTCTCTCGACCCGTTATTTTGTACAGAGTAATTGAAAGACCATCATCAATACAGCATTATTCATTTCTAAGCAATCCAGGTTTTTTTTTATATATTAAACAGGTACGCACAAATATGGTTATCCGCAAAGATTGAGATTTCAGAGACGACTTTATGAAATTCATGGAATCTTTAATATTCATGATTCCTTGAAATTGAAAACTTCCCCCAGTCTAAAGGCAGCATGATCTGTGCCGGTACAATACGTACTGTATATGTAGTCCGTCGTACTATCCAGTCAGGCTACCCAGTGTAGAGTCGACCCAACACGTTTTATGCAACAAATGTAGCCTGGCAAGATCTGCCGTGTTTACTTGCTTTGCCATTTTGTAAAACAATACAATCTTAATTGATACTAATTTTCATAGTTAAAGAGTTTTGTTATGGCTTTGTTATTCTTTGCGGGTAAACCTAAAAGCCAATCCGGCAGTTTACAGTGTGTACATTCATACAGGAAACCTATTTTTACTTAAATTTTATTTTCTTGAATCTTTCACTTTTATAAAATATGTCTTAAAATAGAAACGAATATGTCACCTTGTGGACATTTTAGCTTTGCTAATCTCAGTAAGTGTTCCATCCAGCTCAACCCTAAACAAAAAATTTATATTTTTATTTAAGAGGTTTTACTTATATCTATAAAAGGTCTGTAAAGCGTAATTTTAATTAACCCTAAAAAAAATTGAGTCATTGAAAAATTTTTAAAGAAGAAAAAAAGTAATAACCGTACACAACCAGTTTAACGTCAAGTCAAGCATAATAATGATAATAATGATAATAATAATAATAACATTTTCTAAACTGAAGTGCGCAAGTGAATGTTGCTTAAGATTAATTAATTGTAACACTTTTAAATCCGAAAATGTTTCAATATTTTTTTTTATATATCTGCATCGATTTTAGAATTTCTGAAATTACAAGTTTTAATGCGAAAATGCGATTTCTATTTCTCATGGAAAATGCACATAGCTTCCGCCACTCGGAACAGAGCTGGGGCGTTTTGAACTATAAGAAGAGAGAGGGGTATTACAATAGGAAGAGAGGGGGGTATTACAATAAGTAGAGAGAGGGGTATTACTGTAGGAAGAGAGAGGGGGGTATTACACTAGGAAGAGAGAGGGGTATTACAATAGGAAGAGAGAGGGGTATTACACTAGGAAGAGAGGGGTATTACAATAGGAAGAGAGACGGGTATTACAATAGGAAGAGAGAGGGGTATTACAATAGGAAGAGAGGGGTATTACAATAGGAAGAGAGGGGGGGTATTACACTAGGAAGAGAGGGGTATTACAATAGGAAGAGAGGGGGGTATTACAATAAGTAGAGAGAGGGGTATTACTGTAGGAAGAGAGAGGGGGGTATTACACTAGGAAGAGAGAGGGGTATTACAATAGGAAGAGAGAGGGGTATTACACTAGGAAGAGAGGGGTATTACAATAGGAAGAGAGACGGGTATTACAATAGGAAGAGAGAGGGGTATTACAATAGGAAGAGAGGGGTATTACAATAGGAAGAGAGGGGGGGTATTACACTAG